AGCACTAAAGTCAGTATACATACTGAAAAAAAAAAGGCTGTAAAAGCACTTCTTGGCATTGGCGTGAAACAAAGTGCATGAAACATTCCTTTTGCTTTTAAGTAGTACCCTGATGTAGTACTGGCAACCATAAAACTTCTTCCATTGGAATTTTAAAATTGGAGTCTCGCTTTCCCATAATTCGAATGCAGTGCAATTGAGGACCAACTCTGCAATCGATTAGTTAAGTTTGGTTTATAGTGCTTAGCAAATGGTATATAGTCACCTCAAGCACCAGCAGGGTATAGCACTTAGAAACATTCGTTAATAAATTTTAGTGCATAATTTATCACTTGTTATTAATTATTTTTTGAATGACTTAATTTTCAAAAAAATGTCATAAATCCCTATTACGTTGCTTATAAAATGTAGCCATTCTTTTTTACTTAAACCTAGTCTAATGACTTTTCATTGATGCATGTATTTTATTAATTGAGATACCTAAAATAAAATGCACAAATCTTAGTGTACAGCTTGAGGCATTTTGACATGTATATACATTCATGATCACTTGATATCACTGAGATCAAGATATCAGACATTCTAACTAATTTTTTTCCTCTTTCATCAATTTCACCCATCCCCCTATCTCCTTCCCTGTGGCAATCATCAGTCTGTTCTGTGTTTATGGATCGGTTTCTGTTTTGTTTTCAGGTTCCACATAGAGTATTTGTCTTTGTTTTATTTCACTTAGCTTAATACCTTCTAGGCCCATCTATGTTGCACATGGTGAGATTTCATTAACTTTTATGACTGAGTAATACTCCGGTATATACATATGTACCTCATCTTCCTTATCCATCTGTCTGGTGATGGACACTCACATTGTTTTCATATTTTGGCTATTGGAATTGATACTTCAGTGAACATAGGGGTACATACATCATTCTGACTTAGTGATTTTGTTTTCTTCAAGTTAAATTCTCAGAAGTGGAATTACTAGGTCGTATGGTATTTTTCCTTTTTTGAGAAACCTCCATCTCCATACTGCTTTCCATAGTGGCTGCATTAACTTACATTCTCATCAACAATTTAGGAGAGTTCCTTTCTCCACATTCTCTCCAATTCTTGTTATTTCTTGTCTTCTTGAAATTAGTAGCCAGTGTGACTGGTGTGAAGTATCTCATTGTGATTTTGATTTGCATTTTCTTGATGATTAATGATGTTGAGTATCTTTTCACATCTGTTGGCCATCTATATGCCTTCTTAGGAAAAACGTCTATTTGGGTGCTGTGCACACTTTTAAATTGGACTACATTATTTATTTTCTTTCTGGAGTTGAGTTGTATGAGTTATTTTATATATTTTGTTTATTAGCCCCGTATTGGATATATAATTTGCAGATATATTCTCCCGTATGGTAGGTTGCCTTTGCATTTTGTTGGTGGTTTCCTTTGCTGTGCAGAAGCCTTTTAGTTTGATGTAGTCCTACTTGTGTATTTTTGCTTTTGGTTCCCTTGCCTGAGGAGACACATCCCCCCCAAAAATTACTAATATGAATGTTCAAGAATTTAGTGCCTATGTTTTCTTCTAGTTTTATAAAAACTGTGTTTTAAAGTTTCAGGGTTTATATTTAGGTGTTTAATCCATTTTGAGTTTGTTTTTGGATGTGGTGTAAGACAGTGGTCCGGTTTCATCCTTTTTCAGGAAGCTATCCAATTTTCCCAACAACATTTACTGAAGAGAGTCTTTTCAATGTGACTTTTTTCTACATGGATCTAACTTCGAAACAAATTCTAAAGAGGGCAACATATCTAGTGGGAAAGAAACCTGATGACTCTGCATTCTGTTGGTATATACTTACTGCATTTGAAACAGTGAATGAAAAAATGATTATTGCAAACTTTCTGGTTATTAATTTAACAAATATTTATTGAACAATTACTGTATGTCATCCATTGTGTTAGGTCGTAAGATTCAGTGTTGAGTAAAACAAGATACTTGACCTTCATGGAATTTATTACCTACTGGAAAAAGACACATTAAACATAATTAGATTAAAAGTAAAATATTGAACTAAAACTAACAGTCATGATAAGTTCTAGGAGCACTCTAAGTGTTCACAAATGGAATGATTTACCTTCTCCGGGAGGCCAGAAAATAGTTCACTGAGAAGTGACAGTTGAGCCACCATCAGAGGGATCAGATGTTTACAAGCTAACTTGCATAGAAAGAGCATTCATACTAGAGGATATTGCAAGTATAAAGACTTGGAGGTAGATGTGATCATGGCGAGTGTGAAGGAATAAACAAGGCCCATGTGACCATCCTAAGAGCAATTGGAAGCCACTGGGGAGAGTTAAGTAAAGGTGTGACATCAGATCTGCATGTTAAATAATGTGTTATGACTTAATTATGGATAACTGGGGAGGGACAAGTGTGAGTTGGAAATAATTTTAAACACACTCAAGAGGAAATGCCAGCTAGGCAGTTGTGTATTTAGATCTGGACCTAAAAGAGAGATCACAGACAAAGGTAGAAAATTTAAGTCATCTTTGTTTAGGTGGCAGATTAAAACAATATATACATGTACAATTATTTAGGGTTCAAAAGTATTTTGTGAAGAGTTGCCCTTGAACTCATGACTGATGAGAGGTCTGTGAGCCTTAAAAAACCAAGACAGATTGTGTAGAGAGGCAGTAGGAAAACCAGGAGAGTGATCTGTCCTGGAGACCAAGGACAGAGTGTTTCAAGGAGGAAGCAGTCAACAGTGTCAAATGCTGCTGAGATGGCAAGTAAATGAAGTCTGAAAAATTCCTGTTGAATTTTGTGATAACTTTAAGTGGACCATTGGGAAGGGAAACTGGAATTATGTGGAATGCATGAAATAGTTTGAACTCTTTAAAAGCTTAGCTCTGAGGCAGTTGAAGAGAGAGGGTGCTCCTAGTAAACTTTGTAGTGTGGATGTTTTGTTTTGTCTTTAGTGAAAATAATCCTGGCATGATTAAAAATCACTAGGAAACATCCATTTAAGAAAGTGACAATGCTAGAGGAAAGCAATAGTCTATAGAAAGGCTTCTAGGAAAGCAGAAAAGGATGGGATCCAAAAACACAATTAGGAAACTAACCTGACATATGTGTAGGGGTATTTCTTATAACTTTATTAATAGAGGATGAGGATGCAAGTTAGTTTGTATTTGTGGTAATCACAGATTATGGTCCCCATCTGATATTTACTTTCTCCATGAAATTGAAAAAAAAGAGGGAGAAGGTCTGATGTTTTAGGAAAGCACGCAAAGGTTTATGATAGTTGTTATAGAGTGTATTGACCAAGAAGATACAGTAGGGTTGCTAGGAAGTGTAGAGGCCCATTGAAGGTTAGCCATGGGTGATTTATAGTAGAATCTCAAGTACTTCCTGCCTCCTTCGGGTGCTGTGAAAAAGACTCAGAATGTTGCTTTCATCCAGTATCAACTAGAGGAAGTAAGGTATTGGCAAGTGTTGATCATGTACCCAACCTGGATAAAAGAAGGAAAATTAAAAAAGCCTAATAACCCTTTGAGAGATGGTGAAAGGGGTCAGTGAACTGGTGGTTTCAGTGAAGTCACAGACCATGTGGTGGATGAAGTTGAATAAGCAAGCCAATGGAAGTTGTGCTCTCATTGTGTGGAGTATTTGAATTCATGATTTTAGAAATGGAATAGTTATTAGTGAATGACAAGGAATACAGTGTGACCATGGCATTGGGTGGCTGAGATGGAATAGATTAGGTCATTAGAAAAGAGGAAGTTAAGAAGTGAGGATATAATATCAGATGGGTTATTCAAGTGGACATCTACCTCACCCAGAATGATGGCAAAACTTAGGATGGAGAGAAACTGTAAATTGGTTGCCAATATCTTCAATGGATAAGGGATGAATGATACTAATAGAGGGTAAGAGAAGGTGTTAAGGCTAAATCCAAGAGCCTTGAAGAAACAGGATGAGGTTGATAATGTTATTTTGGTGAGAAGAACTTGAGGGATTGTGTGTGCCAGGCACTCTTGCAAGGCACAGAAACACTGTAAATATTGCAAGGCCGTGTCCTCTGAGAGGAGCTCAGACTATAGAACAAGACAGCCACATGTGCAGTTAGTGACAGTACAGTGAGATCCTACCTACAAAGTATAGTGGGAACCTCAAGGAAGAACAGGTTATGTTTAGCTGAAGAAAACATTGAAGGTTTCACAGGAGAGATGATATCTGAACTGAAGTTTATGTAGTTTCTCAAGTGGAGAAGGCGAAGGACATTACAGGAAGAATTATAAGATGTACAGTTCCTAACAATGACAGAGGAACATACACTCAAAATGATAGCATCCCTTCTCGTACTATGCACTTCGTAATACGGAGTTCTTTATCATTATAATATCTCCATCTCTTTGCCAATAGTTCTATTTTTTTGTTGTAGAGTTCAACATTATTCTCTAATAGGATGAGTGAAAGCTTGTATCTGGTGTATGTATGTCCTTGTGTTTTTGGTGTTTCTTTTAAAATTATGGTTGAAATAATATATTACCAAAAACAAATGCATAGAGGCTCTATAAATAAATAAAATACAATTCTTTGACATTTTTGCCATTGTTGTTACAAACACTCCTTCAGGAAATGAAATGTCTACCATTATGGGTGAAATTCTTTTTTAAACCACAAGGATACAAAGATGAACATGATGGTCTCTGATCTCAGGGAACTTTATTATGATCCAGGAACAAGATGTACAGGTAATATCAATATATTAACCGCAGGGAATGCTGTGACCTTTTTAGAAGTCACAACTTACTTCTCTTAAATCCTCAGACATGTTTTTAGAATGTTGATGAATTTTTTCGCTGTTTATGGAATAGGTTTGACTTCATCAAACAATATAGTTAAAACAAAAATTTGGTTCAAATGGTAGAGTCATCTATAATAAGACTCAAAAGAAAGTATGTTCCTTCTTGAATTAAGAGCCTTCCTAATTTTGGCTTTATTCCTCAAAGGTTGTGAAGATGAGAAAAGAAGTGAAGAAAATCTGAGCTTTGGTTTTCTGAAAATTTGTCAGGAGTGTGAGCAGACTGAAGTCAGAAAAGTTAGTCACTTAAACTAATGGTCCTGGGACTAATGAAATGTCAAACGTTGTCTTTATTCATATTCACAAAAGTGAAGGGTGGGACCTAGAGGAATAATTAAATATCTTACTCATGCAGCACTTTGTTTTATATGTGGAAAGGATGTGAGATCAAATGTGCTGTGTCAGCATGTCATTATATGGTTTGGACCTTACTGACTTTAAAATATGTGATGAATTTTTCTGATTTTCCCCAAAACACTCCTTTTGGCCATTTTGGAATGAAAGCTCTTTGGGGTTGCATATGTGTTTTATGTTACTGGAAGTTAAGATGTTGCTATAGTATAACAAATGTACTAATACCTTGGATCAGTTATAAAGATTTTATATCACTTTATTCCTTGAATTGGTAATTAATTTGAAATTCTCTGTATCTTGTGGAAGTGCTTATGAAAACAATGTGTTCAACCTAATTTTTTTGAAAATATACTTTGTAATTTTAGTTTCACTAGTATTAGGGGCAAATATGCTATTTATAATTTTCATGCTTTAAGGTGTGTTTCATTCTTTTAAATATTTCAGAAGGTAACCTTCCTTTCTAATATAATCAGATTTTTAAGTTACATATTCCATTAATTCTAGAGAACAAGTGTTCATTTAATAAAATTTAAGTCAACCTTTAATTATTGCTTATGAAATTTGTATTACGTTAAAACAATGTGTCAATCTGTTATTTAAAAAATATTATTTGATCATCTTATAAAGGAATAGAAGGCAAACTGTTCTGTTAATAAGTCTTTAATATACTGCTAGTACAATGCTTATCTTTGTGAAAAACTTGAGTTCGTTGATGGAATTGGGGCATGTATTGGGCAAGGGGAGGACAGTACAGGATGACAGAGCGTTTGTTAGTTGGAGATTTATTATGCCTTTTTAAGAGAAATGAAGAGATTTTTCATTTGATAGGAGTCTAAGAGTCTAAGATAAATGGTTTTCTTCGCTACATATTGTATTATCTGTAGGGGTACTGAAGATGCACTGTTAAAAAACCAGAGACGGGCATGATTGCTTGAAGAAATCCATGCCATGAAGGTAAGGACTTCCGTGGGTGTGTACATATGTTGTCTCCATGTCTCCTGTCAGCCTGCACTTTGTGGGTGTGCAGGGGGTAGAGGTAGTGGTTGTATTTATTTGAATATTACTTCGAGTTGACTAAGACTTATTTATATGGGTCTGTTTAGTGCAGAATGTGCACATCTAGAAAATTGTAATGTTTAAGCTTGCCTTTTTCCATGTCTTTTTATGGAATTTGTTAAAGTACTAGACTGATTTGAGCCTAACAGTGCTAAACTAAACTCCTGTATATTTAATGATGCCTCATGCCTAAGGTTTTTGTTTTTACTGTAACGTTAGCCATAAAGTCTGAGAAGTTCAAGCAGTGAATGTTCATGCTGTTTGGCAGTGTGGGTGGTGATATTGGAGGCTGACATCATGCTTTGCCTATTGCCAACTCAATAAAGTTTTGTGTGGTGGTGTCAGCATTTTATTCAGCTCTGTAGTAACTTGAGATAAAATTAGTGTTGGGTCAAAATGATCCATGTTTTTGTTTCTTTCAGCCAGACTCTTCACTAACATAATTTTTAGGTCTTCTCACTGCTGTTACTTTGTGGAAAATTTCATTTACCAAATGACATACTATTGAATGTTTGGGAGACTGTTTTATTGCAGAACTTAAAAACAGCATTTGGTACCAACAGTTACCTTAATTGTAGGGTCATTTTGCATGTATAGCTGACTGTTACGTTTTGGTATTACTTCTAAGTTTTGAGATAGATAAGAAAGCAAGACAATTCTCCAATAATGCTTTAACTGAGTTAGATTATCAAAACTTCTCAGCATGTTTTCCTTTTGAAGAGATGATTAAGTGTTTTATAGGACAAAATTACCACAGTTAATCTGAGTCAAAGTTGTAGGACATGGTTTTTCTTTGGTGTGAAGTATGTTTTTTGTGAGGTATTTTCATTTGTTTTATTTTCACAATACTGCAAAATTCATGGAATCTATTTGATACATCATTCTCAAAGCTCCAGTCCCCTTTTTATCCAATCATTCAGTAAAAATACCCTATATTTGACTTCTGATTATCATTTGTGTCAATTTGTGTTACACATTGTTTAGGCTTTTTCATATACTGTATTTTTCCCTATGAAATTTCTATGGAAATAAAATCTTAAAAAAAAAAATCTTTAGAGATCTTTGTTCTGAGGATGACACTAAGATGGGAAATTACGATTTATCCTTTTGCCTCTTTCACTTTCTCTTAACCAAGGTCCTTACTAAATTACATTTCTTTATCTAAATTTTTCCATATGATTTCTTCTGAATAGTTTATAATCATAGTCCTAAATTATCCAGAGGCTTTGAACTACTATACAACTGTTGATTTTATTTTATCATGAAAGGATGCATTATATATAATAAGGCTATGTGCAGTATGTGAAGAGTTTGAGAAAAGAAGATTCATTACTGTTTAGAATACATTCCTTCTGTAACTCTCAATAGTTGCTTTAATTTAATTAATTAAAAAAGAAAATCCTATTTGATCTATGTGTGGAAGTTGTTTTTTTCTTATCCTTAAATTTCCTCAGCAGTAAGAAATCAGGCTCAGTCATAGAGTTCATAGGTTTTTAAGACCTTTATGGAATTGTTGCCTAATAGAAAGCTAAAATTCAAGGCAGGTATGTTCCTTGCACTCATAAAATTAGTAGTGTATATGTTCTTTGAATTTGTGGTAGTGGTTAGGGTAGTCTAGATTGGTTGCTGTGACTTCAACACTTTTTGTAATGTTATTTGAAAATTGGATTAAGTTTAAGTGTAGAAACCGGAATAAAAGGAACACGAGGAAGACTGTGTTTGCTTTTGTTACATGTCAAATTTCATTTCTTTTACAGAGTTGGTCTTCCTTTCTAAAAGAGGCAAATAGAGCATTAAAAAATTGAAAGGTCATTTCTAATTTCTCAAGGAAGTGTTTATCATGTACATGGGAATATCAAAGAAATGGTCACAAGGTAGAAAATTCACAGTTTCAATTAAATTTGGAGAAAAACCTCTACTTACTTGTTTTTTTCCAGATGGATTTTTTTCCTTGACTCATATACCACTACGTTTTTATAGCCTTGTGCATGACATACTGTCCTTTACTTGCTTTCTTTGATGATAGGGTGTTTTGTTGCAAGATGACTTCTTTGAAGAAAACCTGAGATATTTTTAGAAATGAGAGTTTGTGTTTTCTGGCCAAGAAAACAAATGACCTGATCTTTATGATGCTATAAAGTCATAGGTTCTAATTTTATAGACTATAATGGATGAATACCAAGTCTTTGTTCATGCTTCTGTTCAAGCAACTTTTGCCTGTGTTTTCTTCTAAGAGTTTTACGGTTTCATGTTTTTGATCTGTTTTGAGTTTACTTTGTGTATGGTGTAGGCACTAGTCCAGTTTCATTCTTTTGCATGTAGCTGTCCAGTTTTCCAAACACCGGTTGTTGAAGAAGCAGTCTTTTCCCCATTGTATATCCATGGTTCCTTTATCATATATTAATTGACCATATATGTATGGGTTTATACCTGGGCTTAATTCTGTTCCATTGATCTATGGATTCTCTTCTTATGCCGGTACTATACTGTTTCTGATTACTGTACCTGTGGAGTATAGGTTGAAGTCAGGGGGGTATTACAGCTTTTTTCTAATAGTTCTCACACTGAAAACTTCAGTATTAGTATAAATACTGGCTTCTGAGATTGTTCCATGTTTTTCTTTGGAAATTAGTTTGTCAACTTTCACAGATCCTTAAGTTACTGAGCTAGAGAAGAAGATGGTAAACTTACGTCATAAAATCAGTCAATCCAAATGTACAGGAAATTGCTTTCTCCACAGTAAATGTAGTAACTAACTTTTACTGAGCATTTTCTCCGTGCCTGGTACTCTATAGTATGTTTTATATTCATTGTTGCATGAGGTAGAGATCATTATTATCCCTATCTTATAGACTAAGAAACAGAGACTTAGAGAAATTAAGAATTTTCCCAAGGTCAGATAGTTGTTCGGTGGTGGACATGATTGTACTGCTAAGGCAAGAACTTCCTGAAATATGTCTGGGCGCTACTCTTCCTAGAGGTTGAATTCTTGAGATAAAATAGTAAATATTGATACTTGACCTCTTGGTGTGAAAAAAGGCCCAAAGATGTGCAATATGTTTGTTTGTTTGTTTGTTTTTTCAGATTCTTTCGTGCCTCACAGCTAAATATATGCAGTTACCTCTGTCTACATTTTTTTTCCCCTTTCTTGTTCTCTGGGCCATTACTTTTCCCTATCCTGATTATTCCTATGCACTGAGAACTTGCATATTCTTCTGTGAGACCTTGCTCAGACTGCTACCCCTTTCTTCTCTGTTTTAAAACTCTTTCTCCCTCTGTTTGATTCTTCCCTGATTTTTACATGCCCAAGTCTGTATTAGCAAAGACATGGCTTGAGCTTGCATCAGATGCTGGGATTGCCGTGCCTCCTGCTCCTTTGGACCCTGTTTCTAAGTGGTTGTCATTAGCGGACCCCAAATAGGAAAAATGATGTAGATTATGATAATTATATCATTTGAACTTTACCACAACCCTGTAAATTAGGCATAATCTTATTTCCGGACTTGCTTACAAGTGTTCTACCCTGCACACATCCGTTGGATTTCAGGCTTATCATCATATATATTAATGTAGTAGAATTTTGGAATACTTCTGGTTATGCATGCTTTCAAAAAGTTGAGATTTCTCTCTGTACTTTCACATACTGTGATTTTGTGAGTTTTTTCTTATGAATGCTTAAAAATAATGCCTTATCCTGTAAGTACACTATGTTAATTATTTGTGTCAAATGAACATTCAGCTTGCTTGTTCTACTAAAATAACGCATAACTTAATCTAAGTATAATTATTTTTGACAGTTTGACCTTTTATTTGTAAGCCAATACAAAGAATCAAGTCAGACTCACATATTAGAGATCTTACCTAAAGTCCAGGTTTACTAATAGTTTCAAAGAAACATGCAGTCAGAAAGCCCAAGTGAAGCAAGGAAGGATCTGGGATTCTGTGCGGTTGGTTCCACATGGCCTGCCTTTCTACACCAGACGTGCGCTTTCCTAGCCCAGAGTGGGTGAGATCTTGAAATGAGGAAGTCTAGTTGTTACCTCATGGCAGACAGTATTTAGATTTTGAAACTTCTCCAGTACCCCAGGGTTGTGTATAAACTTACATGATATTATTTTCCAGTGTGCCATGTCTCAAATCCATGGATTCTGGGTTTATTTAGTATCAGCCTCATTAACAAGGAACATCCTACAAAGAACATTCTTCACGTAAGGACTTTTCTGTTAAAAAAAATCATTAGCCTGTTTCCAGAAGGACCAGTTATTAGTATATTAACACATAGATTAAACTCTGTTACCTACTTTTCCCTGAATTTCCTTCTGGTAAAGATTTGAATGGATCCCAGGACAGCTGCTTTAATTCTCTCTGCAATTTTTAATATGTCCCCTTTAAGCTTCGTTTGTGTTTTCCTCCAACATTTTGGACATACTTCAAACCTACAGAAAAATTGTAATACCACAATATGATGACGATAATAATAATAATAATAATGCATTGTATCATGTCCATGTTTGTCCCTTTGCTGGTGATGCTGAGTTCCAATCATTTCGCTTAGATGTTGTCTGCTGGATTTTGCCATTTTAAAGGCGTGGTTTTTTAATACTTATTAAGTATTTTATGAGATGATAAGTTTGAGACTGACTTTCATACTAGTTTCATCTCTGTAGTCTTTCATTCAGTGATGTTCTACAACAGAATCAGTTAACACTTTTTTATCATTTCTATTTCTCTGCTGGGATTTTTTTTGTTTCTGGTAATATTTCAATTCATTGAGGGGAATTTGTTTTTCTTCTTATATCTATTGAGGATAGTGATAACAGCCATTATTGCCTGAAGAGAGGAAAAATGTTTATTTCTTGGTTCTTTGTATGCTGTGTACTTTTGTATTTTAACCTGGATATTTCAAAGATTAAGTAGTAGAGATTCTGGGTTTGCTTCCTTTTTCTGCAGAGTGGTTGTTGTATGGTTTGGCTTTGACTTCAAACTGTTTTCTTTTTGATAGCAGCTCCAGCCTCAGTTTAAATCTTTTGTAGTGAACTACTTTGAACCTGTTCCTGCATGAGAGGTTCAGGGTTCAGGGTTAGGGATCTGTTACATGGTTCTTCCCTTTGTGGGTTTCCCTTGCTCTCTCCGTGGATAAGCTCTCCTGACTTTACTCTTCCACAGGGTGGTTCCTTTGCCACTGCTCCTGACCATGCAGACTGCAGGTAGCCTCAGGCGAAACTCTGAAGAGATGCTGACTTTGTACAGCTTCCTATCTTTTCTCCCAGGACGCTTGCACTTGCCGTCAGAGTCTGTGTGCTTCCACGCACCCTTCATTACCTTCAGGCAGGACTTTTTGTTGTATGTCCAGGTTTTATGGTCGTTATTGGGGGAGGTGGAAGAGAAGGAGGTTAGTCACATCGTCTGTTAGTATCTTAGCCTCTCATAACCAGAAATGGGATTAACCAAAGTTGGAAGTAATTGTAAATAGCTAAGGAAAGAGGCCTGTGAACCTCAAGACCCTGTAAATGTGAATAAGTAAGAGACTGAAGAAGAAAGAGAACCCAAGACAGTAGGTCTAAGACACCAAGAGAAGAGACTGTTTCAAGAAGGGAGTGATGAATTAGGGCTTTTTGTTGATGATGTTGTTGTTTTTGAAGTTAGCAGTATTATTTTCAAAGCAGAAACTCATATATTAGATCATGATTGATGAGTTTATCAAGTTGTGGTTCCTCTGTGGTCTAGCCTACTTAGCAGGGCTGTGCTGATAGAATCAAAATGGTTTTTGTTGTTATTCATGTGATCTAAGTATATCTTCCCACCTCTCCTCTTCTCCCATCCTGTTACTTCTGTGTAAAAAGAAGTCTAACTAACTCTAAATTCTGAATTGTTTGAGTAGCTTTATTTTCTTCCTTCAGGTCTGAAACCTAGAAGGGAGAAGTGTAATATTTCTTTCTCATTGACTTCCTTACACCGTAAGCCTACCCATATATACCCAGATAGGGTCTCTTATGGCCACATGATCTGCCACAGTCAGTACTGTGACCTGTGAATCCCTTTCATAAATCTATACTTTATAAGATTATTTTTCTTAAATGCATTAAAGAAACCAAATAATAAATAATTTCTTGACATCTTTAGTTCACCTTAAAAATCTCCAGTAAAAACTTTCACCTTGGCATAGTATTTTTACCAAGAGGAAGCACTTACATAGTGCAGGTATCAATGAGAATGGTTCCATCTA